CCAGAGCCTTGGCTACTGGGGCATGGGAGTATGGGCAGAAGAGGCAGCTACTGCTCCCCTTGGCATTAGTCCTCCAAAAGGTTCAGGTCCCTATCAGATGCACTAAGCTTTGGATTGCTCCTACCCCTAGTTGGATTTCTAGGGGACCTCATCTTCATTGCATAGCCTGGGTGGTTTGGTGAAGCTATGAGGGCAGCAGTGAAGGGCAGCAGCAGGCTGGACATCAGGGGCCAGGGGTCCTGGCTGGCATGGGATCTCTATAGCAGTGCTGGCAACTAAATGATCGCCAAAGCCCACTGCAGCCCTCAGTTCCTGGGGCTGTGGCCCTCCTCCACTCTCCTGGGATCCTCAAGGCTCAGTTCCTAGGACACCCTCCACGTATACTTCGGGTCAGTCCCAGGTTTCCTGCTTCTGGGTGAAGGCAAGGGTATGAACTTGCCCCATGGGACTTGGAAGCATGGCCAAGAGCCGACCATACCTGAACACCCTGGTCTCTGAAGCTCTGGGTGGACCTCACCAGACAAGGAAATCTCACTGGTATTCAGAGCATCTATGAGTGTATGTCAGTGCTGAGGGGCAAGCCAGGACTCTGGTCTGCCTCCAGGCACTTACCATTTAGGAGCACTACAGTCACACAGACATGCTTCCTATTCCAGGAGTCCCTGGCCACCTTGGACAGGGGAGTTATTTCCCATCCACATGTGGGGGAGCTTCCTGCAGTGAGAGTACTGCCAGTCAGACCTCAAAGGGCTGCCAGCACTGGGCCAGCCAAATGCAGAGGATATCAGGTTAGGAGAAGAGCTGAACAAAAAGATGCCTGTGCTTGGAGACCATTACCTAGAAAGGAGGGAGACAGCTGGGCGTACTGGTTCAGGAACCATGTTGTCAGTTGCTGGTGGTGGGGTTCAGGTGGGAGTTTTCAAGAGGCTGCTGTGAAATCCAGGCTGAGAGGAAGGCAGGTGCCCAGGCAGGCACCTCCTGCAGGATCCAGGGCAGTGCACGGCTCAGCCTAGGTTCCTGGCCTTGGGGTCAGTGTGATGACCCCCAGAGCCAGGAGCTCCCTCTGCTTACATAGCCCATTCACACCCCTTCACCTCCCAGCCCCTGTGCAATGTGCTTAAATCAGCACTCCTGTTCACTACGGAGAGGCTTAAGGCTCTCAGTGCCCTTAACACATCATGCAGTCTGTGAAGATCCCCACCCACTCTTCTACCCCAGCTCATGTGGGCTACACTGTGCCTGCCCATGCAGTGTACACCTCCCTCACCAAGGCATCCAACTGATCTCATTTCTAGTGGCTGGTTCGCTTCCCTCCCACTTTGGCCCTCACTTACCTAGCCTGGTGGGGAAGGTGCACCCGAACTGAAGGCAGCTGAAAACCAGGGAGAAGGGTGGGTGGAGGAGGGCCATGGGCCCTCCCAGTGTCAGCTCCCTTGCTGCTGTCCCATTAATCACAGCGTCACAGTCCAGTTGGGGATCCCGGACGCCAGTGCCACACGCAGCCCCAGGAACAATGGGATTATTTCCGGGGGGAGAGGCTGCCTCGGGCAGGGGCTCAGGCGGCAGTACCGCCTTCCCTCAATCAGTCCCTCGGCACCCGAGTGCCTGCGGCGTCCAGGGACTGGTGGCAGAGCAGACAAGGGTGACCCGCGGGTGGCAGGGCCTGGCCGGTCTAATTCAATTAGCTGGGCCGCCACTGCCTCCTCGCAACTCAGGGCCCACTGGGGCTCAGCTTCAGGCAGCTGTTCTTTGTGCTGGTAACCCATACATATGGATACAGACCCTCCCCTTTAGGGACCCCCACCCCTCCTGGCACCTGGGGCTCATCCCTCGTTCGAGAAGGCAACGTTGGCCTCCCCAGAAAAGTTGGGGAACTGGCAGCTTGTGGGCCCAAGGTGGCAGAGAGTATGCCTGAGGGAGGGAGGTGTTTTTTATCTGAACTGGAGAAGCAGAATGGAAGTGAGTACTTATAGGTTTGTAGCAGCTGTGTGTACCCTTGTACATGTGACCTGTACGATTGTGTGTGTGAGGGAGGTTTATGTTTTGTTTTGAATCTGTGCGGAAGGTGTGTGAATCTGGTTGGGTATGCCTGTGTGCACCTGTGTATGGATACACGAAGGCAGTGTTGTAAGCATCTGTGGGGACTACACACAAGAGTGCCTGCCTTTTTGTGTGCAAGGGTGAGTGTGGATCTCTGAGTGTGAGCTAGACAGGGTGTTGTACCTGCTCCAGCGCTGCACCTGGAAAGCCTCTGTGTTTGGCGTGCAGGTGTGTCTGCACTGCCCGCTGGTGCATAGGCAGAGGTCCCTGTGCAGGCAGGACAGCGTGGAACACATTACCTCAGCACAGCAGCAGCAGCTGGGTCTCCCAAGCCATTTGTTCCCCCTCGTACTGCCTGTGCTTTTCTGATGGAGAAGGAGCTTGGTGAGTTGATTTCAAGCCTGAAGTCCAGTTCAATTCATTCATTCAGAGCACATTTCCCCAACCCACCTGGCTCAGCAATCAGGCAGAGGTTGTGGCCAGGCCCTCTCCTCTGGTAGTGGGGTCAGAGCCAGCCAGGTTTTCCATTCCCCGGCAGAGCCGGGCAGCAGCTCAGAGAGTGCCTGCAGCTTCCATGTGCCCTGGGTACCCCTGAAATTACCAGACCTGTTCGTGGCAAGGTGGCTCGAGCTCCTAGTGGTGACCTCGAGACCTTCAACTCTGCCTCCTCCACCATAGCCCAGGACTGAGCCCCTCTGGGAGTCTGAACTTCCAAAGCTTAATGGTCTTCATCTACCCATCCTCTGAGGCCAAATCTATGCTCCCAGTGGGGTGAGGGATCCAGGTAAGAAGTGCAGGTTCATGGCCCAGAGGGAAATCCCCCTCATTCTCAGCTTTATTGAGGGGCCACAGTGGGAGGGCCCACACACCCGCAGAGGTCTGGTAGGATCATGGAGGGAGACTGACAGCCCCGTTCTCACAGAGAGTAGTAGGTTCCTTGAAGACAGTTGTGGCCCTCAGAGGCCAGGTCTGAAGCTGGCTAATGCTCTCTCTGTTCCTTCCTCCTCCCGGGCACTCTGCTCAGAGCCTGGCTACCAGGGTGTCCTCTGCCTCCCCAAATTCCTCAGACCAACAAGAACAGGGCAGGGACCCTACCGACGACTGAGTAAAGCCAAGGATAAAGGACAAGGATGGGTGAGGCTGGGGTGGGCCCACAGCTGTGGGTCCTAGGCCAAAGCACACTACTGGGGCCCACTGGTGGGAAGCCTAACTTGGCGTCACCCTGGGTGGTATCTGGGGAGCCCTCTGGATGCTGCAAGGGGATAGCAGGGCCACAGAGGTCTGTCCTGACCTGAATTTTCTCTCAGTCCACCCCCTGCCCTGCCTTTTCTGCCATTCTAGTACCCTGAGAGGAGACCTATCATCGAAGATAGGCCCAGTCAAGGGCACTAGTGGTGGACAGCACCAGCGTTGGGGGTTTCTGGGCCTTCTTTGGGAGGGAATTGATCAGAGAGGCCTGAGCCCTAGTTAGATGCCCAGAGATGATGAAGCCAACCCAGCCTCCTTTCAGTCAGAAGCTGAGAGGGGGTGCCCTAGAGAGGAAGGTCTAGATATAAGGGTTCCATCGCTCAAGCAGGCTCTGGGGTGGGGAGTAGAGGAGAAAGGTGCTGGCCTCTACACCAGGTGACAGCTGAGGTGTGTCCTATGTCAGGGAATGTCTGTCCCCATCCCTGTGTCTTCAACCCATTCGAGATCCCTCCACTGATGGGGAAACATGTATGCCTGTCCTTCTGTGTTGAAGAGGTCCTCCATCCCTGTTACTGCAAGGACTAAGTGGGGGCAGCTGGGGCTGGCCCTGGACAGCCCGCACCCCCAGCCCTGAAGAATCATTGAGTTGTGTATGGGGAATCAGCCAGGCCTGCTCACTCCCTCCTTCCCCAACCTAGGTTCCTAGAGAAAACAACCACCCACCTCCCAGGGGGTGGAGAACCCTTTATTGGATCTCTAAATTCCTAAGTGACTAGCTGCACCTGCCCTGTCCATGGAAGGGGAAATTTTCTGCCTCCTTTCTAAAGCAGATGATCAAGGCAGCATGGATCTCTTTGGTCCTGGGAATTCAGACTCCAATGGCCCCACCGTGGACTGCTTCATGTTATACTTCATGTCCCAGTACATATTTCTCAGTCTGTTCCACCCTTTTCCTGCTAAATACTTATTGGGCATACCCTGTCTTCCCCTTCCCACACCCACAGGCTCATATATATAAAAATGTCACATTTCCCTGACAACCTGACTAGAAAATAAGATGCTCCTCTCACAGATGTACACAAACACACATCGTTATTGTCCTCCCTCTCACACAGTAGCCAAGGGATATTATCACCCCATAGTATGTGCCTCTTACGGAGGGACAGTTGTAGAAACACACATTCTTATCCTGTTACAGAAAACACACATTCACCTGCATTCTCACTGATACACACATCCTTACACATCCAAATTCAGTTGTAAAAATGACCAGACCCTCTTTCTCTCTCCCAGCACCCTTACAGGCATGTGTTTTGCTTGCAGTTGTATCCCAACAGCCTAACACTGATACCTCATAGACACTCAATACATGTTTGTGGGGTAAATTTGAAAAATTATTCCTCAAAGACATGCCCAGTATATCTGCACAGCTACCCTCACTGCCATGCACACTTTCACATCTGGCTCTCCCCTTGTGGATGCACAGTCCCACAAACACAAAGTAATTAAGTTATCACACACACCCCTAAGCTAAAGGACAACCCCTGGCCCAGGGGTCTCTCTTGAAGGGGGGAAGGAGTCACTACGGGATTCAAAGGAGCCTCCCCCTGTGGCTATGCCCTCCCTTTTCTCCTCCCCCAGCCCTGGACTCAGCCCCAGCTGCTCCTCTTTTAATTGGAGGCACTTCTTTATTCTGCAGGCAGAGAGGGAGGGGGTGCAGGGATGGTGCTTGGAGGAGGATGTTACCAGGTGGCCTCAGGGCTGGAACTCACCTAGATGTGTGCAAGATACTCCCATAAGGCAAGGACCATATCTTCCAAGTTTGGTGCTGAGAAAGCAGTTTGTAATGAGTGGAGTCAGAAAAGCAGCATTTGGGTCCAGTATCTGTTCTGTTCCATCTTTCAGTGCCTTGGTTTTCTCATCTGTAAAATGGAGATAGCAAAAGACACATCATGGGATTACTAGAGGATGGGGTGAGATGATCAGTGTGACTGAAGGTGCCTGGGACATCACTGGTGTCTTGGGAGTCCTGTTTTCTTTCGCTCTCCTCTTTCCTAACAGGGCTTTTCTCACAGTATGCAAAAGCACTATGGAAACACAGAAGCTGCACCTTATATAAGCTCTGTGTGAGTCTCCTCCACCATTTCAGAAACCTTTCCAACCACAGCACCATGCTCAAGTAACACTGCTTCCAGAAGGGGATGGGGCCAGAGCCAGTGAATTCTGATGCTTCTGTCTCATCTTCCTAGGCAGAGAGAAGGCTGAGAGGGTAACCCTGGCCCTCAGCAACTACCCCATTGGAAAACAAAGGCTGAGGTAGAGCTGGACTCAAAGAACCCAGCTGGGCGGAAGCCAACACGTCAGAACTGGATTAGGATAAAAGTTGACTCTAATAAGTGAGGGAGTGGAAAGTACAGAAAAGACCAGGAGGCAGGCAGTTAAGGGCAGGGAAAAGTCAAGATGTCCCTGGGTTGCTGGATTTCGATGAGAAGAGCATCCTAACTGTCTTAATGGACTGCAAGGCAGCTGTGACCTCTTCGGACATTAGGCTGGACCAGCAATGATAAGGTCTCCTCCCATGTACCCTGGACAACTGGTGCCAGATCTGAGGAGTCCAAGAGGTGAGTGGGGCAGATGCCCAAAGGGTTGGAACAGGCAAGACTGGAAAGCCATTGGGGCTGCAAAGTGCGTGGAAGAGGAAGAAAGAGAGAAGAGGGAGAGTGTTAGGAACACTCTAGGCATTCCCTGCATGGGCCAAAGTGGCAAAGAGAAGTTGTTCTGAGGACAACCTAGAAAGATAGGGTTTTCATTGCAGCAGGCAAAACCGTGAGTAGACACAAATGTGACTTTATTAAACGGAGTAGAGCCACTGGGACCCAGCATCAAAGGATGCTGAAACACCCCTCCCCATAGTTTTCAACCTCATACAGGGAAAATAGTTCAGATTTGGGGATCCCAGATTAATCCTCTTCTGTCTGTGGACTTTGGGCAACTTTGTTGATCTCACTGAATCTCAGTTTTATTTTTTCTTTCTAAAAATGAGTTTTAATTCATGTACTATAATATTTGGCCCTTTAAATTGTACAAGTAAGTGGTTTTAGTGCATTCAAACAGTTGTGCAAACATCACCACTATCTAATTCCAGAATATTTTCATCACACCAAATACGAACTTTGTATTCATTTGCAGTCACTGCCCACTCTCCCCTCCTCCCACCCCCTGGTGACCATTAATCTGCTTTCTGCCTCTATGAATTTGCCTATTCTGAATGTTTCATATAAATGGAATCATGCAGTATGAGGTCTTTTGTCCCTGGCTCCCTTCACTTAGCATAATGTTTTCTAGGTTCTTCCATGTTGAAGCATGAACCAAGACTCTTTTTATTCTTTTTTATGGCTGAATAATATTCCATTGTATGAATATACCACATTTTGTCTATCTATTCATCTGATGATGGACATTTGAATTGTTTCCAACTTTTAGCCATTATGAATAATACTGCTATGAACATTCATTCCACTTTCCTATTTATTAAAAATAGGGATGTTTCTATTAAGTTCACAGGGTTGTTGTCTTAAATGAGATAAATGTGGTCTGATGCCTGGCACATGGTAGTTTCTCAGTAAAACATGTATATTTATCTCTGCTATAGTTTCCTCAAGATTAGAGGCAAGAAAGAGATGAATTCAGGTTCAAACAACTTCTAAAGAGAGTGATAGAACCTCCTGGGTAGAGGTGTAGTACCTGGATTGCATAAGTGCAAAGAATTGGGAAAGGAGTGGAGCTCTCTCCTTATGTTTCTGCTGGGTGTTTACAAACAGCCACCAAGTTCACACCTGGCTTCGTCTGAGGGCCTTTGTCCCCCTGCCTGGATCCCAAACAAAGCTTTCCCTGTAGAGATGCACTTCCAAATAGCAGCCAGTTTTCCAAGGTAACCCATAAAAGCAAGTTGCATCCAGCTCCTCCTTCTAGATCAAGTCACTTAGCTTCTCTGAAATCTGGTTTCCTTGTATCTGTAAAAATAGGGATAATACTTGCCTCATAGAGGTGGTTAGAGTGTATGGTGTTCCCCATAACATTTATTATTATCCAGCTTATTGTATTTGCTTATTTTTTATTGTCTGACCAACTTCTAAGGAATGTAAGCTGTATCAAGGCAGGGACTTTGTTTCGTGCACTGAAATTTCCCAATGCCAAGAACAATGCCTGCACATAGTGGGTACTCAATAAATATTTGTTGAATAAGGAGATTCATTCATTCATTTTCCACCCAAGGCGAGAATATTTTCTTGGTGGAGCTATACTCCACAAGAGGGAACAGATGAGTAAACCATTCCCTGCCTTCAAGGAGGTCTTTTCAAATGGGTGGGACATGGCCCAAGCAAATAGATTGCTATGAGACATGATAAGTAGAATGTGAGTCTTCACATTCTAGCCTCTTGCCTGGTAGAGACAGCCTCTCCCTGAAGGCCTGTTGAATCTGAAGTAGACCAGAAATAGATCCTAAGTGATCCAACCTGCACCCATCCCAGAGCTTGGCTCCTAGGAGGGAGCAGACCTTTCCCTCCTGGAGAGGGGAAAGGGAGGAAGCAGATAAAGGGAGTTTCCTCCTTCTCTCCTGGGCTCTAAGCCAGTCAGCCACAGGCAAAACTTCGAAAAGGCCTGAATTTGTCCTGATGCACTTCCCTGATCTTGGTCCCATCATCCCCAGCCCCCACCGCCTTAGCCCCTAGGCCTCCCTCCCAAGGCTCCAAAAGTAAGAAAATAACTCCTTCCCTCACCACAGTCCAAAGGTTTCCTGCTTGGAACAGCCAGCCTTGGGTTAGTTGCTCGTGAAAACAACCTGATTGAATTCATTCACATACTGTGGCAACTGCTTCTGAAGGCAACTATTTATTTAAAACAAAAGGGGTATCTTGAGGCTTGGGCACTCTGGCAGTAGTCTCCAAGCCAGTTCCCTCTACTTGCGCCTGCCTTTGAGTAAGTCTTCCTTTCCTTAGTTTCTCTGAACAGGCTGAGTTTAGGTGTTTATTTTTTTCACCCATATATAGCCAGTTATTCATAGGCCCATGTTTTAAAGAAGGACAAGCCTGAACTCACCTTCCTGCCTTAGGGGGCTGGGCTCCATACCTGAGGAAAAGACCGTCTTCTACTTTCTAAGGAGCTGGACTTGAAGTTTGGAGTAAATCCTCTGGTTGAAGGGCAGGTGCTTCCCAGCTGAGCGCTTGGGGAAGTTCTCCAGCAGCGCAGGGACACCTCTTCCCTAGAGACCTGATCGGCTGGACCCCTTTGGCCCAATTCAAAGAGAGCGGGAGGCTTCTGCCAGCTTGGGAAGAGGGCTCTGACCTCCACTTCCTTGAGTCCGTCTGTCGTTCTCTGGGAATGCTCGGCTCCTCTTCTTTCTCCTTCTCCTTTTAAATCTCTGGTTCCCCTCTTCTCACTCTTCCTGAACTACTTCTCTGAGCCTTGGTCTCCGTCCCTCTGTCTCTGGCTCCTGCGTCTGTCTCGGCTCCTGGCTTTCCTCTCCCCCTCTCCGCCCCTCCCCCGCGCTGTCATTCACCCCACTCCTCTCCGCGCACAGCCAATGGAGAGACCCGGCCGAAACTGCAAGGCTCGCTCGCACCGGGCTTTTTCGCCCGGTGATTGATGTCCCAGAGTCAACATCGAGCTAGCAGCCGGAGAGGGGAAGGCGCAGCCGGAGAGGGGTAGAATACGGCGACCACTCTCTCCTTCCCCTCCCCCCTACTTTAGCCCTTCTGTGCACTTCGCCTCCAAGTCTCCGCTCAGCCAGGAGCCGCTGCCGCCCCCGCGCCCCTGCGCGCTGTCCCCAGAGCCAAACTCAGCGAGCCTTGTTGTCCAGGCCCCCCGGCGGGGCCGGGGCCGGGGGCCAGCATGGAGCACCTGGGCCCGCACCATCTTCACCCAGGCCACGCGGAGCCCATCAGCTTTGGCATCGACCAGATCCTCAACAGCCCGGACCAGGGCGGCTGCATGGGGCCCGTCTCGCGCCTCCAGGATGGAGAATATGGCCTTGGCTGTTTGGTTGGAGGCGCCTACGCTTACGGCGGTGGGGGCCCCGCGGCCGGGCCGGGGGCCGGGGGCCCTGGGGCCTATGGTGCTGGCGGCCCGAGCGGCCCTGGTGGCCCGGCGGGCGGCGGCGGCGGCGCCTGCAGCATGGGCCCTCTGGCCGGCTCCTACAACGTGAACATGGCCTTGGCAGGCGGCCCCGGTCCCGGCGGCGGCGGCAGCGGGGGCAGCGGGGGCGGGGGGTCACTGAGCGCTGCGGGTGTGATCCGAGTGCCCGCGCACAGGCCACTAGCTGGAGCGGTGGCCCACCCTCAGCCTCTGGCTACCGGCTTACCCACCGTGCCCTCCGTGCCTGCCGTGCCAGGCGTCAACAACCTCACCGGCCTCACCTTCCCCTGGATGGAGAGTAACCGCAGATATACAAAGGACAGGTTCACAGGTGAGTCCGGCCTGCGCGCGCCCCGCCTGGCCGCGGCCCGGGCTCTGAGCTACCTCTCTCCCACCCGGTGGCTACCCGCAGCCCCCTCTGAGTGCCAGGTCGTCCAGTTCCTGAGTGCCTTCCCCAAGTTCAGCTGCCACCTTTCTGTGCTCGCAGAATCTCAATGCTGTAAGCGTTCTCCCAACCTGGGCCCCTCTCCGGCTCTCCCGCAAGACCACTGTTATGAGAAGCGCTCCCAGATCCCCTCTTGGCGTCCCTGGGCTCGATCAGGCGTAGTGATGGGGGATATAGCTTCGGGACCACCTTCCACCGGCATGTGGGGCTCGAGAATCTCGGGGAAAGGGGCACAATGTGAAGCAAACTATTTCTTCAGTTCTGGCCGACGTTCTTGGACCTATGCCCCGAGCTCCAGAATCAGAAGCGAGGAAAGAACAGGTTCCCATTCACCCGTCTCCTACGCGCACACACGCACAACACACACACACACACACACACACACACACACACACACACACACACACACACACACACCGCACTCCCTTCTGCAGAAGCCCCGAGTAAGGCAGCAGAGCTGGCGGACCCTTCTCCCCGGATTTCGGGCTTCGTCCTGTCCTGGTGGTTGGCAGCGTGAGGCTAGGCCTCCCGCTTCATTTTCTTTCGGTCCGGTCCCGGCATGGCGTCTTCCCCCGAGCCCTGATCTGTTCCCACCGGCGTGAGTAACGCACCAGCCGGGCCAGCGATCAATCGGCGGCCGAAGGACCACTCCTGGGACGATTGGGCACTCGGCGGAGGACTGCCGTCCTCTCTGCTGCCTGCTCCGTGCCTTCCTCGTTCGCCCCGGCTCCCTCCGCTCCCGCTTCCGCTCTTGGCGCTCGGCACTCACCTCTCGCTCCGGTTCTGCCCCTTCCCAGCCTCACTTCCCGCTGCTCTTAGCGTTCTCTTGGATAGGAGACTAGATCCTCCTGCCGGCCTGGCCCTCAAGCCCGCTGGGAAGCAGCTACGAGTTGAGCCTGGGTTTCCTGCCAGAACCTAGAGAGAGGAGGCAGAAGGCACAGGCCGCTGTCGACAGTGTCGTGGGACTCCCTTGGGGTTTGGGCTCCAGAGCCCAACGGTGGAAGTGGGGTAGGCATCTTAGAACTAGACCCTGGGCTAGGTGGCCCCAAGAAACCCCAGGCTCCTTGCTTCTGTTCCAGCCTTGGAACCTTGGCCCAGACTCTGGGTCTGTGGCAAAAGCAGAGGCGGGGAGTCGGAGGCAGAAGCAGAACAGCCATTCTGTTCTGGGCCTCCCAAAAGGGCCCTTTATTCAAGGGGGTCCTGTGCTCCAACCAGAGTCCTCTCAGGCATGGGGAGGCAGGGCCTAGTGCCCATCCCACTACCCCCACCAAGGCCAGGCCAGTATTGAAGGTTTCTGATGGAACCCCCAGCCTGGAGCCAACTGGCCCTGGGTCTCTGGTGAAAGGTACTCCACATAAGGCCTACCTAGGGGAGCCACAGCCAGACCTAATCTTGCTTCCAGCCTGAGGAAGGTTCTGAGGGAGTGAATAGCTGTTGTCTTGTGTCGCCTTGTGTTGTCCTGTGTCCTGTGTGCCTGTGCCCATTTGGGTGTATAGATCTGTAATTTGCCACTATGGTATGTAATGTCTGTGTGTTGTTGTGTGATGGAGCTCAGGTCAGGAGACCTTGACCAAGCAGGGCCTCTTACTGTTGAGCAGCTTCTCTGAGGCTGGAGGCCTGGGCTGTGGGGTGTGTTTCCACCTTCAGCTCGCCTCAGACATGCCCCTCAAGGAGACCAGGGAGGCTACTGCAGCATTTATGGTTGGGCACTTTGGGAGCCCTGGACTAGGGAGGCCTCTGTGGTGGCGGTGGCAGAGGCCTGGCGGTGGGAGGGGGCCGCTTCCCGCCGCGGGCTCGTAGCTGAGGGCTGACGGGAGGATCACGGCCTGGCTCCTGGGGTCTAGCCACTGTGCTCACTGACTGACGGGGTGTCAGGCCTGGGACACTTCCTGACGCTCTGCCGCTTGCCTCTGCCATCTGTCTGTCTCCCGCTCCAGTGGCCCTCTCACCCTTCACTGTAACACGCCGTATAGGTCACCCCTATCAGAACCGGACGCCCCCCAAGAAGAAGAAGCCACGCACGTCCTTCACGCGCCTGCAGATCTGTGAGCTGGAGAAGCGTTTCCACCGCCAGAAGTATCTGGCCTCGGCCGAGCGCGCCGCCCTGGCCAAGGCTCTCAAAATGACCGACGCTCAGGTCAAAACCTGGTTCCAGAACCGGCGGACGAAGTGGAGGTGAGCGGGCGGCACAGTCTCGGGCAGCTCTGGGATCTCGCGGCCTCTCTTGGGCACTCGCCTGTTTCCCGTTTGTTGGGAGTAGCTGGCCGCTCCTGCTAGGCTCGCGCGGGGAGCGGGGAGCAACGACACCAATGGACCGGGATGGGGCTGGAGAACCCGGTTCTGTTTTACCAGAGGCTTCATGGCTTTCTGGCGGGCACGCTCAGTGCCGCTGTAGACGTGGCTGATCACCGCTGCTTGGGGAAACAGCCGTGCTAGAGCACAGTCTATGCGGTCCGGGCTTCGGGCTTCAGGGATCAGTGAGTCCTGAGACACTTTGTTCAAACTTGTGCTTAAAGAAATGCTTCCGTCGTCCCGGAGACTAGAGGCAGGATGGCTCGCTCCTTGTTACTGTGCCCAACCCGGGTCTCCCGGCGGAGTGTCTGGGACCCCAGGCTGCTGCCCTGGGCTCTGCTGATGCTCCCCTCCCCAGATGCCCTGCCTTCACACAGCCGGTCCCCCACTCTGGAAGGGGAAAATCAATCTGCACCGTCTGCGTCGGTTTTAGAGGGTTCCACTCAAAGAGGGATCAATTAAGAGCAGATGGGTGGGTGGGTGAACAGAGCTATTTCCCCTTCTCCCCTCACACATACACAACTACACTAATTTTTATAGTTCGACTATACATGTACCTCGACCTCTCATTTCTCGAACCCCCTTAGATACATAAAGGGTCCTGCACATTCCTAGGCAGCTTCATTCTCCGCACACGCTACCGCTGCACCCTCTTGCACCCCTGCAACTCTCCCGCACATCTGGCCCCCTATATTCAGTTCCACACACTCCAGGAATTTCTCGTTAGTTCAGGCCTCAGGGGTAGTGTGAGAGAGTCTGGGCGAAGTCTGCGGCGCCGGGCCGGGCGGGACTGGGGGCCAGAGGAAGGAATTGGAGTTTCCTCTTTTTCTGAATGAAGGCGAGGAATCTGCCTGGGATTCCGCCGGCGTGGCCACAAAGGAAGCCACGGCCTGGAGAGTCTGCTGCCCCCCACCCCACATTCCTGCTGCTGGGGAAGCGTGGGGGGCGCAGTTTCGGACCTCTGGAAACCTAGTTAAGAGCAAGGGAAGGCTAGCTGGGTTGCGGGCACTAGTGTTCCCAAGGCCCACCCTGGACTGCAGCCTAGGGGAGGGGAGGGAGCCAGGCAAGCCCCTGAGGAAGGGCACAGAAAGAGTGGCAGGCAAAAAGAAAAACTGAAATGCAAGAGGCGGGGAGGAGACGCCCAGGCAGAAAAGGAAAAAAACAGGCAGTCTGAAGAAGTCTTATGTATAATAAAGGATAGCAGAGGATGACTAAAACCTCCATTTTCGTTTCAAACAAATTTCCTTAAAGTCGAGAGAACTAAGGGGGTGAGGGTAAGAGAGAACACGAGATAACACAAAGCCTAAAGGAAGAGAAACAGGCAGTTTGAAGTGCAGGGAAGAAGGGCAAGACGAGAGACAGAAAGACGCAGAAAGCGAAAAGGCAAGCAGGGGCGGCGGGAAGGAGGCCGGCGTCCGTCGCTCGGAGAGGCCCTCACCGGCTTCGCGCGGCTTCATCGATCGCCTACAAATTGCTTCTGGAGGCCCCGGGGACTCCCATTAGGTCTGTCCACCTTAGAGACAGACGTTTGATCTCAGTTGACGGAGTGGAGGGGAGGCATTAAATGGAGTAAGTGAGTCATCGCCCCCTAGACCTCCTCGGAGGAAGCCGGCTAGTCCGGCGGGAGTCCCGGCAGGGCACAGGGCTCCGCGCAGAAGGTCAGAAGCCTGGAAAAGGTTCGCAGAGAAAAGGGGGAGAAGAGAGGTCTAGACTGACAGCCCACCTCCACTGGCCCTTGCCTCTGCCCCTCGGAGTTGGGACTGGGGAGAGGCCAGATGCCACCTGGCTGTGCATTCGAACGCTAGCCGGGCTGTGGGCACTGCGCGTTGTTGGGGAGTTAAAGCTGCTTGGGCCTAGCGGGTTTTCCCACAGCTCTCCCTGGGATACCTCTGCTCCATCTAATTTTGAGGTGTTCAGCCTTTGACCCTCAAGATAAGGGACTGCATTAAAAGGGCCGAAGCTGGAGTTGGGGGCTGTGAAGGAGAGCAGAGATCGCTTAGACTATCTCCCGGGAGCACACCCCAAGCGTCGGTAACGACTTGTCCCCGGTGCAGGCGGCAGACCGCGGAAGAGCGTGAGGCGGAGAGGCAGCAGGCGAACCGCATACTCCTGCAGTTGCAGCAAGAGGCCTTCCAGAAGAGCCTGGCTCAGCCGCTGCCTGCAGACCCCTTATGCGTACACAACTCGTCCCTCTTCGCCCTGCAGAACCTGCAGCCGTGGTCTGACGACTCAACCAAGATCACCAGCGTCACGTCCGTGGCGTCGGCCTGCGAGTGAGCCTGCGTGCTCTGCCCCGCGAGACCCCGCGCCCCGCCAAGGGGGTCACGGAGGCCTGAGAGCCAGGACTCTCTCCCACCCCTCCCGCTTCAGACTGCACGCGGGCCGAGAGCACTGCGCCCCTGCGCACCGCGTGCGTGCTGGTGTTCTCTATTTGGTGGAAAAGAAGGGAAGAGCGCGCCAGACAGGGACATTCTCCCAGATGCCTATGCGGTTAGGTCCCACTGGAGCTGTTCAGAGTCCTCTCAGTTTGTGTCCATTTTATTATGATTTTTAACGTGGGGCCGAGATGGGGAAAGAAGAGCTTCTGGGGTCCCCAGAGGACAGCATGGGCTGTCATTTGAACTTGTCCTGAGGAGACCCCCTTCTGTGTATTCCACTCACTGTCACACATGGACACACACAGGCCCACACAGAAGCAATTTCACTGTCCCTCTTGGTGTCACCCCAGAGTCACACATGGGACCAAAGGGAGAATGTCATGCACATACCCGATCACAGCCTTCACACCCTTGACCCTCACAATCAATCAGACATAGGTCGGGGTGACCCAGACTCATTCTGAGCAGCATGGCACTTCTCGCAAACACAAGGCCACAGCCACACTCTGACACACCATCTCACACAAAACAGCGTCACTTGGCCAGCACATATAGCTGCACCCATATACACACAGGCAGGTTTTCACCCAGACTCAGACTATTTCTCCAGATCCTGTTCATGGGGGGGGGGGTTAAGTTATGCACTTATAAGGTGTTTTGTGTGTAACCATTTTATAAAGTGCTTGTGTAATTTATGTGAAAAACGTAATAAAACCCTCCGGATCCAGAATCAGGGCTGCTTGCTCTTTGCTGAGCCCAGTACCTTGCTCCTTGCAGCTCCTGGGTTTGGTGTGAGCTGGGGCTGCCAGGTGGCTGCTGGTACCTGAGCTTGAGGGACATCAGTGGGCTAGGACCTGCAGGCTCTGGAGGCAGGAAAAAAGTAGGGGGACAAACAAGAAAAGGCAGAGCTGAGAAAGGAGGGAGAGCCAGGCTCTTCTGGGACAGCTAGTGCTCCAGAGAGTATAATGTTTCAGGGTATGAGAGCTGTGTGTGTGCACTGTGTGTGTGATAGTGTGGGCAATTGGGACGTTGCTGATAATGAATGTACAGTGTTTAAGTAATTGCAATTATTGTATGTATGCTTGTTTCTGCTTAAGTTGCAAATCGAAACTATCACTGTACACACGAACTTGTGAGGTGTGTGTGTGTGTAACCATGTGTGAATGTGACTGTCTTTTTGGGTAATTGTGTGACCACCCACCCAGAATTGTGATTGTATATGAGTCATATGTTAACATTAGTGAAAATACATATTAGTTTCTCCTTTCCATCTATTTCTGTGTTAAATGTGTGAATGTGATTGTCAATGATTTGTAATTGCATGAATGTAACTGTGTGTAAAATGCAATCGTGTGAAATATGTATTTTACTATACATATTTGTGTGTGACAGTATGTAATGGGGAAGTGAATTAGTGGGCAGTGTGGATCATTGTGGGTAACTGCTTCTGTGAGTGAGTGTGTGTGATTGCATGTGCATGGATGTAATTGTGTACTGGTGGGGTACATGGTCATGGGTGTCTGGGGTGGGGTATACAGATACTTTGTGGGGGCACCAACATCAGCTAGGAGTTCTGGGGTTCTAGGTCTCTACCCAGTAAGCTGCAGCATCTGGGACACACTGAGTCAATAATTAGGCCAGGATCCTCTGTGGTGCTCTAGGCAGGACTTCCCAGCTCCAAGAAATGGCCTGTCCTAGGAGGTATCTGAGTGTCTTCCCAGGGACCTTCAGGGAGTCCTCAGAACACTACAGCCAGGACGGCAGTCATAAACAGTCTGCTTTTCCGGAAGAAAATAGGTATTGGAAGGTCTGGGGAACATGTCATCCTAAGGGAGTAAAGTGGAAGGCTAGGAGCCTCTTTCTTTGGGATGGGAGAGTGAGAGAACTTTGTGGCTAAAAACTAAAAGTGAGTGGGGTGTGGGGTTTGTTCAGGTATGCAGAGCTGTGTGCATCAGTTGGAAGGGTGGGAGAAGCCATGGAAACCATCAGAGCTACTGTCCTTCATCCCTGCCCATGCTGCTATCCTGGACTTGTCACACCATATGGGGACAAAGCACAGCAACCTCTTATCCAAGGAGGCCCAAGGGGAAATTTGGCTGACTGGGAAATGGGCAGTGCTCATCCATTCCCCATCGTGGCCCCCTTGGCAGGAGAGGAGTCTGGGTTCAAAAGTCCCCCTGCCCTCACCACTCAGACCCACTGGGGTGACCAGGCTGGCCAGACAGACTGCGTGTTGATACTGGGGAGAAGGTTCTGGCCTCAGTGCCTGTTGCACAGGGGGTCTCCTGCCTGTATTGGCTGCGGCTCCCAGTACCAGGCTGAGCAAAATCCAAAATGGCTTCCCGGAACCGCAGAATTAGTTTCCCTTTGCCTGGGCAGGTCTGGCTGTCCCCTCCCAACCCGCCAGAACTGGAACCGCCCAGCCTGCACCTTCTTCATTTGGTGCCATCTCTGTTCCATTGGCGTCCTTAGAATGCACCTTTAGAGCCTCCCAGCTGTGCTACTCCAGAGTAGCTGTACCCCAGGGGAAACTGGCCTTCCTCCCACCTCACAAGTCCCTGGGACACCCCTCAAAAGGCTGCTGTGCCCCCAGGATATTTTCTGGCCACTGACTGTCCAGCTGAGGAGAGTGCTAACTTGAGCAGCTGCCCAGCTCAAACACAACCTCCCAAATTGTCTCCAAAGTTGTGGCTCTTCACTGCCACTCTCTTGCTCCCTCTTGCAAGACAAACACAAGTAAAATTAAGCATAACACCCTCTCCCCAGAATACCTCCTACTTCCCTGATCTTCACAAACAGCTGTGACTCACACTCAACCACCAGGGTGAGTGCCCCTCAGCCCTGCTGCCCCTGGACCCTGTCCAGCTTGATGAGGACTCTCCCGGAAGTGGGCATCCTGAACACAGAGATCCCTGCCTCTCACGAGAGGCCACCCGGCTACCCAGATACCCGGTGCCTGCTCTCTGCGCTGGCTGGCCTAGCAGGCCCAAGTAGTGCACTTTCCCAAGCTCCTTCCAGGCTCCCAGGTCTTCAGGCAAGGTGTCCCAGGGGGGTCCAGAACCTTGGGGACACTGAGGCCCTGGGCGCTGAGGCACGGCACAAGACTCCCCACTCTCTGCCAGGAATTCGTTGAGACCAAATCTCAGGGAATCCCGTGTCGGCCAAGGGCCGCGGCAGTGGGGCAAGGTCGGGATGGCAGCAGAATCAGCCCTGGACAGCTGGACCTGTACATACCTCCCTGAGTGGGACAGACACTGGAGGGGAGGGGGCTGCTAGGGTCACATTCAGTGCCAACTACCCGCAGCAGAGAGCTCACAACTCCTGGCCTGCCCTGGTGCTTGCCACAAAATGGTGGGTCTGTACAAAGAAAACAGAAAAGGAAATAATTATGTGAATAACTGCACATAGAGGTGCAAGGGGAGAAGAGAATTTAACAAACCTGCCTGGGCAGAAAGGCCCACTTCCTTCCACGGTTTGAGAGAGCCAGCTGCACGGACCAAATTCTGCGGTGAGTGAGCCTTGTGACAGTCTCAGACCTGGCGCAGCCCAGCTCAGTGGCTAAGTGGGTGGTGGCTTGCAGAGACCCAGAAACCCATGCAAGGCTGGGGTCCTAGAGGCCCCCGTGCTGTGCCGCCAGTGGCACAGAGAATCTGGCTCAACCTGTTAACTATAATAACGGCTTTGTGTGGATCTGTGCTTAGGGACTGTGTGGACGCTGGCCTGTGACACTGTGCAGTGGCAGGTGTGAGGTATGCCCTGGGCCCAGGACTCAGATGGACATCCTGTTTGTGGTATGAGTGACTTGCAGGTGGGAAAGGTAGGTTCCAGGTGTATGAGACAACTAAGCAGGAACCTCGGTCCTGGCTGTGCAGAGCTGGAGCAGCTGGGAATCAGCAACTATGCTTTGGGGAGAGGGTGGGGAGCTGTGGCCCTGGAGCTGCCCTGAGGGTCCCTCAGGCCGGATGCAGGAGGAACTGCCTCCCTCCTGCTCTGCTCCTCCTGCTCCCCTCGCACCCACCTTCAGACACTTCTCACTCCCATACAGCCCCCAGAGTCCTGCTCTTAAGCAACTCCTCACGCTCCTAGATGCTCCCTAATTAGCTTGGAGTTTGGTGCCCCACGGCCAGGCGCTGCTAACTGGAGCTGCCTCCGCTTTTCCCGCTTGGCTCAAATTGGTTGTCAACGTCAGCTCAGGGAGGCCCCTGCACTGCTCACCAGCACCCATGTCTGGATTCCTTATCCTGGCGAGTCTGATATGAATAGATTGAGCGTGGGCCACAGCTGAGACAGTTTGGATTTTCCAAGGATGGTAAGATGGTGTGTTCCATGGATGGGGGAGAACAGAGGTAAGTGCAGGTGAGGGGTGAGTACAAACTCACATACCCTGACGCACATTGTGCACGTCTGTGTTCAACCTCACATACCTCCTCCAACTATGCAACGACTGGGGATGTGCGATGTTACACAAGGGGAGCCACAGGTGTGCTTCACAGTTAACTCTCTCAACCTCGCACCCCTCAGGGCCCCACGAAGCTCCTAGGACGGCCACCCCGCCTTGGGCGCTCCTCTTCTCCTTCTCCACCCCTCCTCCGCCAGCCCGAAGGGAGGAGGGTCTAATTCGATTGCAGGTCGGCGTGGGGGTGGGGATTTCCTGGGCCCGCGCTTTAGTTTCCAGCCCTGCAGCTGGGGCAGGTGATGGCATCCCATGCGCCAGCGGCTGGGCTTTGGGGCGGCGGGCACCCAAGGACCCTAGCAAGGTCCAGAAGGTCCAGCCGCCGCCACTGCCTTCTAGAAGCCTATGGAAATTCGGCCTCTTTTGTGCGCGAGTTTGTGAAGGGCTTGGGGGTGCGAGAACCCCTCTGCTGAGTGCTGCCCTAAGGGGGACTTCAGGGGATGCCGCTCCTGCCCCCTCACGTTTTCCGCCCTGTGGCCCAGAGCCCACGTGTCTTCGGTTCCTGAGCGAGGAGTCCCAAGACCCAGAAGCTGGAGGCGGCAGCCACGACTCGGCAGCAGCAGCTCAGAAGTGGGAGCCGGACCGGGCCTTCTGCCGAAACTCAGGACGAGTGAGTTCCAGGCGCCCTCTAGGGGCCACGCGGGAAGAGGCGCCTCGAGCCAAGGTCCAGGGAGCTTGCCGTCTGAGGGATCCTTGGGAGCGCAGGGGAGGCTGCTACCAGCCCCAGTGGAAAACAATTATAATATTAGGAAGCGACATTATTGAGCGCTTGATGTGTTTCAGGCACCCCAGTAGGTTTTTAAAGGACTAATACGTTCGTAACAACAACCCTATGAGGTAGGTATTTTCATTCCACTTTACAGACAGGGAGAATTTTAGCCCATAGAGGTTAAACAAATTGTCTAAGAGCATGCAGCTGGTAAAAGGTTAGGGCCAGCACCCCAACCCAGGGCCTAACCCTAGAGCTAGGTTCTCTGGGAGGGATGGCTAAGGCCAGGGTTGCAGTGGATTTGGGGATGACTGGAGGTGAAATCCCACCAGCCTACTCAAGGGATGCCTCATATTGTGGAGGAACCTCTCCGCCCAGAGGTTTGCTGAAAGTTTGCCTCCTCGGGCTAGGGAGAAAGCACCTTCAAATGCTGGGCCCTCTTAGGCTCTGATTGTCCTCCCCATCTTTCAAGGACCCACCCTACAGCACTCCCAGATGTATGAGACCTCCTTCTCCTTCCCCACGCCTATCCAGCAACCACCTTCTGGGACTTCCCAGCCTGGGCTTGCCCCTTTCCAGCAGCCCTCTGGGATTGAAAGGGGATTCTGGGCACGTCTACCCTTCCTCCTTCTTCTGGGTCAGCTGGATAGAAGGGCTCAAACAAGCAGAGTTAAAAATAGAAGCGAATGAATCACACTTTATTAGACAAAGGAGTGGATAACCAGGAAGGAAAATCCTCTCTTTTTCAATCTGCTGTGTGTAAAGCTTATAGCTGGGGGAGCATGCTTTGGGCTGGAGGATGAGAGATTGCGTTGCGATGTGTAGGAGGGTCAGAGAGTTAGCAGGGTTTTTTTTTTTTTTTTGTCCATCATTTAGGCAGTATGATTTGGTCAGTGTGTGAAAAGAGAACATATGGCCTTTGCATCTTCCCTGCCTCCGCCAGAGTGGCAGAGGAGGTGCGGGTGGAGGAGGTATCCCTTGGGAGATTCTTTTATATACAATATAAGGTGTATTCCTTGATATATAAATAGTCCCTTCCAGTGTCTTGAACTTTAACATGTTGTAGAACCACGGGGGGATCTTGCTAAACTGCAGATTCTCATTACGTTGGGGGTTGGGGGGAGCTAAGGTTCCAAATTTAGAACAAGTGTCAGCTGTGCTGATGCTGCTTCAAGAGTCAAAGTCCTAAACCACCCTTTGTCTGAGACCTAATCCTGGGTTCTCAGTCTTGCCTGTCAAATATGGCCTGCAGTCTGATTTTATTTGCCCAGTTTTTCCATTTTTTTAAAAAGTGAAAAATAGAGACAGTGGCTAACCCCTTCTGGTATGGTGTTTTACACGCACTCTCCAGCATGCCATTGGCCTTATACTTCTGCTATCTTGTGTCCTGTGCTTTCCTGTTATCTTGTGTCCAGCTCCTTCCCTGTCACCTACATGGCCTCCAGATGCCCCATTACCTCTTCTTCTGCTGTCCCTCTTCCTAAAAATCTTCTTTCACTCTCAAGCGATTGCTCTGAGGTGACTTTGGACATCAGCCTAGGTTTTGAGCTTGGCTTTTCTCTTAACCTCAGGTAAATGAATTAAATTTTGGCTTCCTTGTCTGAATTACAGGGCCAACACTTCCCCGGATTACCGAAGAGATTAGGATATAACGCAGGTAAAAGTACTTGGCTCTTCGCAGGTACTCCAGGAATGGTGCAGGGAGCCCCAGAGTGGCATGACCTGGTTTGTTACGCACCAGGAGGGGTGTGGCGGTAGGAGGAGGATTCTACAAACTGCCGCCCCTCCCCCCTCCTCACCTCATTTCTAGACCCTTGATTTTCCGGGGAAAGTCGAGTAGCTGCTCTCCTTGTCAACAGCGTTCCCTCCTCGGCGCTCCAAAAGGAGGCTATTGTGTATTTAGGTGCGGCGCTGCGGGCCCCTCCTCGGAGCATAGAGCAGATCAGGGAAACCCCGCGTTCACAGGCGCCCAGCTGTCCGTGGTGCGGGCTGGCTGGGTGAGAGCTGGTACAGACCCGGAGGGGAAGGGTGGAAACCCGAGGGAGGAAGGGAATCTCGGTGAAGACCTGTCCGCCCCTGGGGGGCCCAAGGCGCCCGGGAGTGGGGCCGCTTGCACAGCAGTCCTTACCACTATCCCACACACACCTGCCCCATCCATTCCACACTTCTGCTTGTGTGCACAGGCACACACTACTCGCTCTGTCTCTCTCAACGTTCAGGCTGGATGACCCGTGAGTCCCACACAGGACGGCAGTGGCGCTTCACGTCTACACTTTTACTCCGTTGTTCCCGCCAGATCTCTTGGCTACAGACCAGCTGCTGTCCCGAGATCTCATCCTCGTGTTTGCCTCAGTCCAGGGAAACGCAGGATTGCACAGATTCACCCGCCTGTTCCTAGGTAGCCACACGGCCACCTCTGACTGCACAACGACTCGGAGGTGGGGTCCACAATTTCACAGGAAAACGCTGAGGGGCCTCGGGCGTGGCCTCTTACCAGTTCACCTGCTGTGAAGGGGAAGATCAGCTCCTGAAGTTCGCACATTTGTTCAGGAGCCCGGCCCACGAGCTTACACACACACACACACAGTCGTATCCTTGAACTCGGTTTTCATATCCACAGATTTCGACTTCTTCCCCTTTGCCATCTCAGGCCAGAAATTGGGCTCTTTCTGGTTAGCGCTGGGGCGGCTTGGTTGCTGCAACTGGGGCAGATTGGGCGGAGGGGTAAGGAGCAGGAGGAGAGGACACTTTAGCCCCACAGAAGCTCTTTATTAGCCCCGAGTTAACGCTGCGTCCTCAACTACTGTCCTAGGCGAGAGCGAGGTGCTGGCCTTCCGCTGCTGCGCGCAGGGGCGCTGGGACGCGAAGGCGCCCGGCATCCGGTTTACGTCGCGTGTGCGACCCCGGCTAGCCTCGCGGGTGAGAGGCTTCTGGCGGAGAGAAAGCGACGGCACGGCGGCGGGAGAGATGAGATGTTTCTCGATGCAAGGCCTGAGGCCTTCGGGTGCACAAATTGAGCAGAACTTCTACCCTGAAATGGGTTCTACAGCCCCCTCCACAGAGCAGTCCGGCGTCCTCACTTGCCGTGAAGTATCACCGCCAGGTCACAGGAGTTCTCAGGACTCGTGAGCTCCCGCCGCTCGCCAACCGGCACCCGCCTGGAGCTGCACTGGAGGCAGTCCGGCCCTGGGGAAAGCTCAGCTTCCCGCGAGCGGACGGCTTCAGGCCTGTGTCCAGGCCGGCCGCTCGGCTGAAGGCTTGGTAGGGACGGTTGGTGAACGACTCAGAAGCGCCCCCTTTCCGCCGCCGCCCCAGCCACAAGAACTGTCGGGACGGAAAGCAGAGGACACTCGGAGTCCGGGGATGCCACGTTAGTTTGCCAGAAATGCAAAAAGGGGGAGAAATGAACTCTCATTTTTGAAGCCTGGCCCCGCCGGGATCCGGGATTTGGAATATAAAGTTTCCTGGGGGGAAGGGACATCTTGCACTGCGCCCTCCACATCTGGTCCTCTGGGGCTGTTGAGGGGACTCGGAGGCCGGGAAGAAAGCACAGCCTGCGTCCACCTGCTGGGAGCCCACCAGTGCGCAAGCTCGAGCCTCCACCCAGCTGGGACCCGGCCTCCGCTGGCTCTGGGTGGTGCGCTCCTCCCTGCACAGTTGCTACAGAGGCTGGAGAACTCCGCAAACCTGCCCTCCCTTCCGCTGCCGATCGCGCCGCCTCGCCTCATGGACCGGAGGGCGCAGAGCTTCGTGGGATCCGGCCACCCTACGCTGTCCCGGGGTACGGAGGGCGGCCTGAGAGGAGGCGACCTCGACCCTGGCCGAGAAGGGCTTGCTTTTTATTCCTGAGCTCCAGGGAGACATGTCCGAGGCGGCTCGGGCCTCAGCTACATCTGCCGTCGAACTCGCCTGTGGTCTGCGTCCATTCCTGGGACCCGAGACACGGGCCCGGCAGTAAAGTGCGTGGCGCCCTCGCTTTTACTGCCGTCTCCCTGGCTTTTCCTCTTCCAGAAATTGTGGGCAACGCGCGACTGTACAGAGGCCGTAGTGGAGCCCAGACCTGCGCACCTGGAGACTGCCTGGGCCGCGGATTCGCGACTGTGGGCAAGAGACTCGAGAGCAGCGCTCAGCCAGCCCTGGCCTGGCACCTCGCCGAGCCGGGATCCGGACCCGCTCAGCAGCAAAGAGGTAACCGCCTGGAAACCATGGAAAGGGCAGGGTCTTCGGGGTCAGTCATCCTGTGGCCAAGAGAAGGGCGCAGGGTTCCAGGGTGAGAAACTGAAGGAAGAAAGGAGCACTTTGCTGAGGCTCTGGGGTGCAAATAAGCACCGCTCTGAGCCTCGTTCTCTCTAGTCCTATCTGTGTGCTGAGGCCTGTGGGGCTCCAGGAGCACCTAGGGAGGTCACTACTCCACTTCAGAGAGATGACAGCTCCAAGGGGCTCCTGTGGAACCAGCCAGCTGTTCTCTCCCCACTGCCAAGAGTTCTCCCACTGCTTGGCCTAGCTTGCGGCAGCCATGAAGGATAAGTTAGGGCACAGCAGAGAGTTCAGGTGCTGGTATTTTTTGTTGAGGAGAAAGCACCTGGCTCCCGGTCACTGGGAGGCTCTCCTGCAGCCATACTGTGAAGTTCATGACAGAGTACTGCTGCCTCTTCTTCACACCCTTGGAATGGCCAGCAAAAAACAGAAAAGGAATTGCTAACCCAGACCTGACTGCTACTCTTTGGAGATCTGAACCTTCCCTACAATCTCTGCCCCTGTGGCCCTTGGACATAGGAATGGGGGAAGGAGTGCAGAGTCCTCTGTATCTCTGGGCCACAGGCCATAGCTTGTTGGAATCCTGTCTTAGTATTCTGCAACCTTTTTCCATCCCATACATTTTTTGCCTTTCAGCCA